CAGCCCACGCTCAGCCACGCTCAGCCCACGCTCAGCCACGCTCAGCCACGCTCAGCCACGCTCAGCCACGCTCAGCCACGCTCAGCCCACGCTCAGCCCACGCTCAGCCACGCTCAGCCCACGCTCAGCCCACGCTCAGCCACGCTCAGCCACGCTCAGCCCACGCTCAGCCACGCTCAGCCCACGCTCAGCCACGCTCAGCCACGCTCAGCCACGCTCAGCCACGCTCAGCCACGCTCAGCCACGCTCAGCCCACGCTCAGCCACGATCAGCCACGCTCAGCCCACGCTCAGCCACACTCAGCCACGCTCAGCCACGCTCAGCCACGCTCAGCCACGCTCAGCCACGCTCAGCCACGCTCAGCCACGCTCAGCCACGCTCAGCCACGCTCAGCCCACGCTCAGCCACGCTCAGCCACGCTCAGCCACGCTCAGCCACGCTCAGCCACGCTCAGCCACGCTCAGCCCACGCTCAGCCACGCTCAGCCCACGCTCAGCCCACGCTCAGCCCACGCTCAGCCACGCTCAGCCCACGCTCAGCCCACGCTCACCCACGCTCAGCCCACGCTCAGCCACGCTCAGCCCACGCTCAGCCACGCTCAGCCACGCTCAGCCACGCTCAGCCACGCTCAGCCCACGCTCAGCCACGCTCAGCCACGCTCAGCCCACGCTCAGCCACGCTCAGCCACGCTCAGCCCACGCTCAGCCACGCTCAGCCACACTCAGCCCACGCTCAGCCACGCTCAGCCACGCTCAGCCACGCTCAGCCACGCTCAGCCACGCTCAGCCACGCTCAGCCCACGCTCAGCCCACGCTCAGCCACGCTCAGCCACGCTCAGCCACGCTCAGCCACACTCAGCCACACTCAGCCACGCTCAGCCACGCTCAGCCACGCTCAGCCCACGCTCAGCCACGCTCAGCCACGCTCAGCCACGCTCAGCCACGCTCAGCCACGCTCAGCCACGCTCAGCCACGCTCAGCCACGCTCAGCCACGCTCAGCCCACGCTCAGCCACGCTCAGCCACGCTCAGCCAACGCTCAGCCACGCTCAGCCACGCTCAGCCACGCTCAGCCCACGCTCAGCCACGCTCAGCCCACGCTCAGCCACGCTCAGCCCACGCTCAGCCACGCTCAGCCACGCTCAGCCCACGCTCAGCCACGCTCAGCCACGCTCAGCCACGCTCAGCCCTCGGTCAGCCTCGCTCAGCCACGCTCAGCCACGCTCAGCCACGCTCAGCCACGCTCAGCCGACGCTCAGCCACGCTCAGCCACGCTCAGCCCACGCTCAGCCACACTCAGCCACGCTCAGCCACGCTCAGCCACGCTCAGCCACGCTCAGCCACGCTCAGCCCACGCTCAGCCACGCTCAGCCCACGCTCAGCCACGCTCAGCCACGCTCAGCCACGCTCAGCCACGCTCAGCCACGCTCAGCCACGCTCAGCCACGCTCAGCCACACTCAGCCACGCTCAGCCACGCTCAGCCCACGCTCAGCCACGCTCAGCCCACGCTCAGCCACGCTCAGCCCACGCTCAGCCACGCTCAGCCACGCTCAGCCACGCTCAGCCACGCTCAGCCACGCTCAGCCACGCTCAGCCACGCTCAGCCACGCTCAGCCACGCTCAGCCACGCTCAGCCACGCTCAGCCACGCTCAGCCCACGCTCAGCCACGCTCAGCCACGCTCAGCCCACGCTCAGCCCACGCTCAGCCACGCTCAGCCACGCTCAGCCCACGCTCAGCCACGCTCAGCCCACGCTCAGCCACGCTCAGCCCACGCTCAGCCACGCTCAGCCACGCTCAGCCACGCTCAGCCACGCTCAGCCACGCTCAGCCCACGCTCAGCCCACGCTCAGCCACGCTCAGCCACGCTCAGCCCACGCTCAGCCACGCTCAGCCCACGCTCAGCCACGCTCAGCCCACGCTCAGCCACGCTCAGCCACGCTCAGCCACGCTCAGCCACGCTCAGCCACGCTCAGCCCACGCTCAGCCACGCTCAGCCCACGCTCAGCCACGCTCAGCCACGCTCAGCCCACGCTCAGCCACGCTCAGCCACGCTCAGCCCACGCTCAGCCACACTCAGCCACGCTCAGCCACGCTCAGCCACGCTCAGCCACGCTCAGCCACGCTCAGCCACGCTCAGCCCACGCTCAGCCACGCTCAGCCACGCTCAGCCACGCTCAGCCCACGCTCAGCCACGCTCAGCCACGCTCAGCCACGCTCAGCCACGCTCAGCCACGCTCAGCCACGCTCAGCCACACTCAGCCACGCTCAGCCACGCTCAGCCCACGCTCAGCCACGCTCAGCCCACGCTCAGCCACGCTCAGCCACGCTCAGCCACGCTCAGCCCACGCTCAGCCACACTCAGCCACGCTCAGCCACGCTCAGCCACGCTCAGCCACGCTCAGCCACGCTCAGCCCACGCTCAGCCACGCTCAGCCACGCTCAGCCACGCTCAGCCACGCTCAGCCACGCTCAGCCACGCTCAGCCACGCTCAGCCACGCTCAGCCACGCTCAGCCACGCTCAGCCACGCTCAGCCACGCTCAGCCCACGCTCAGCCCACGCTCAGCCACGCTCAGCCACGCTCAGCCACGCTCAGCCACGCTCAGCCACGCTCAGCCCACGCTCAGCCACGCTCAGCCCACGCTCAGCCCACGCTCAGCCACGCTCAGCCACGCTCAGCCCACGCTCAGCCACGCTCAGCCCACGCTCAGCCACGCTCAGCCACGCTCAGCCACGCTCAGCCACGCTCAGCCACGCTCAGCCACGCTCAGCCACGCTCAGCCCACGCTCAGCCACGCTCAGCCCACGCTCAGCCACGCTCAGCCACGCTCAGCCACGCTCAGCCACGCTCAGCCCACGCTCAGCCACGCTCAGCCACGCTCAGCCACGCTCAGCCACGCTCAGCCCACGCTCAGCCACGCTCAGCCACGCTCAGCCACGCTCAGCCACGCTCAGCCACGCTCAGCCACGCTCAGCCACGCTCAGCCCACGCTCCGCTCAGCCACGCTCAGCCACGCTCAGCCACGCTCAGCCACGCTCAGCCACGCTCAGCCACGCTCAGCCCACGCTCAGCCACGCTCAGCCCACGCTCAGCCACGCTCAGCCCACGCTCAGCCACGCTCAGCCACGCTCAGCCACGCTCAGCCACGCTCAGCCACGCTCAGGCACGCTCAGCCACGCTCAGCACGCTCAGCCACGCTCAGCCCACGCTCAGCCACGCTCAGCCCACGCTCAGCCACGCTCAGCCCACGCTCAGCCACGCTCAGCCACGCTCAGCCCACGCTCAGCCACGCTCAGCCACGCTCAGCCACGCTCAGCCCACGCTCAGCCACGCTCAGCCACGCTCAGCCACGCTCAGCCACGCTCAGCCACGCTCAGCCACGCTCAGCCCACGCTCAGCCACGCTCAGCCACGCTCAGCCCACGCTCAGCCACACTCAGCCACGCTCAGCCACGCTCAGCCACGCTCAGCCACGCTCAGCCACGCTCAGCCACGCTCAGCCCACGCTCAGCCACGCTCAGCCTACGCTCAGCCACGCTCAGCCACGCTCAGCCACGCTCAGCCACGCTCAGCCACGCTCAGCCACGCTCAGCCACACTCAGCCACGCTCAGCCACGCTCAGCCCACGCTCAGCCACGCTCAGCCCACGCTCAGCCACGCTCAGCCCACGCTCAGCCACGCTCAGCCCACGCTCAGCCACGCTCAGCCACGCTCAGCCACGCTCAGCCACGCTCAGCCACGCTCAGCCACGCTCAGCCCACGCTCAGCCACGCTCAGCCACGCTCAGCCACGCTCAGCCACGCTCAGCCACGCTCAGCCACGCTCAGCCCACGCTCAGCCACGCTCAGCCACGCTCAGCCCACGCTCAGCCCACGCTCAGCCACGCTCAGCCACGCTCAGCCCACGCTCAGCCACGCTCAGCCACGCTCAGCCCACGCTCAGCCACGCTCAGCCACGCTCAGCCACGCTCAGCCACGCTCAGCCACGCTCAGCCCACGCTCAGCCACGCTCAGCCACGCTCAGCCCACGCTCAGCCCCGCTCAGCCACGCTCAGCCACGCTCAGCCCACGCTCAGCCACGCTCAGCCACGCTCAGCCCACGCTCAGCCACACTCAGCCACGCTCAGCCACGCTCAGCCACGCTCAGCCACGCTCAGCCACGCTCAGCCACGCTCAGCCCACGCTCAGCCACGCTCAGCCACGCTCAGCCACGCTCAGCCCACGCTCAGCCACACTCAGCCACGCTCAGCCACGCTCAGCCACGCTCAGCCACGCTCAGCCACGCTCAGCCACGCTCAGCCACGCTCAGCCACGCTCAGCCACGCTCAGCCACGCTCAGCCACGCTCAGCCACGCTCAGCCACGCTCAGCCACGCTCAGCCACGCTCAGCCACGCTCAGCCCACGCTCAGCCCACGCTCAGCCACGCTCAGCCCACGCTCAGCCACGCTCAGCCCACGCTCAGCCACGCTCAGCCACGCTCAGCCACGCTCAGCCACGCTCAGCCACGCTCAGCCACGCTCAGCCACGCTCAGCCACGCTCAGCCCACGCTCAGCCCCGCTCAGCCCACGCTCAGCCACGCTCAGCCCACGCTCAGCCACGCTCAGCCACGCTCAGCCACGCTCAGCCACGCTCAGCCACGCTCAGCCACGCTCAGCACTCGCAGCACTGGTCTCGCACAGGTTCTTGTCTCGCACAGGTTCTTGTCTCGCACAGGTTCTTGTCTCGTTTCCCCCTTGTGAGAATTCTCAAAACTAAATCCAGCACACGTTGACTTTTGAGTTGACTCAAAAGTCGGTTCTTGTCTCGTTTCTCCCTTGTGAGAATTCTCAGAACTAATACCAGCACACGTGAAACGAGATCTCAGCAAGCAGTATTGCTTGCGCCCTGTTACTCCATGCTGTCTTTTTTTTAGGCGCCTCAAAAGCAGTACTGCTTGCGCCCTGTTACTCCATGCTGTCTTTTTTTTAGGCGCCTCAAAAGCAGTACTGCTTGCGCCCTGTTACTCCATGCTGTCTCCCACTCCTCCCTCACGTGCCATCAGCTTGCGATGCGGCCCACCCAGGAGAGCAAATCGCTGCAGCAAGCAAGCAGTGTTGCGTGCTTCAGCAGGCTGCAGCGCTCTCTGTTTCTCACTCTTGCATCCCTCTCTTCCCCCCACCGCCCACGTGCCGCCCACGTGCCGCCCACGTGCCGCCGAGCCTGTCCTCCTTGACTTTTGAGTCGACTCAAAAGTCAATTCAGCAGGCTGCAGCGCTCTCTGTTTCTCACTCTTGCATCCCTCTCTTCCCCCCACTGCCCACGTGCCGCCGAGCCTGTCCTCCTTGATCCGTGGTGAGTAGTCAGCTGATCCGAAGGTGAGTAGGCAGCTGATCCGAAGGTGAGTAGTCAGCTGATCCGAAGGTGAGTAGGCAGCTGATCCGAAGGTGAGTAGGCAGCTGATCCGAAGGTGAGTAGTCAGCTGATCCGCGGAGCTGATATCGGGATTCGAGTAGTCCCTCTCTTGGATCAGCTGACTACTCACCACGGATCAAGGAGGACTGAGCATTGCAGCCAGTAGGGAGAGGACTATTGAGGCGCCTTGAAAAGATATTTAATTGCCCCCCTGCTTCCCCCCCCCCCTCCCCCCCCCTTTCTTCCCCCACGTGCCACCAGCTGGCTGCCCACCCAGGAGAACAGAGCCCTGCAGCAAGCAGCGGAGAGAACTATCGAGGCGCCTGGAAGACATATTGTCTTGCTCCGCTGCCCCCCTTCCCCACACACCTCTCCCCCCCCACGTGCCATCAGCTGGCTGCCCACCCAGGAGAACAGAGCCCTGCAGCAAGCAGCGGAGAGAACTATCGAGGCGCCTGGAAGACATATTGTCTTGCTCCGCTGCCCCCCTTCCCCACACACCTCTCCCCCCCCACGTGCCATCAGCTGGCTGCCCACCCAGGAGAACAGAGCCCTGCAGCAAGCAGCGGAGAGAACTATCGAGGCGCCTGGAAGACATATTGTCTTGCTCCGCTGCCCCCCTTCCCCACACACCTCTCCCCCCCCACATGCCATCAGCTGGCTGCCCACCCAGGAGAACAGAGCCCTGCAGCAAGCAGCGGAGAGAACTATCGAGGCGCCTGGAAGACATATTGTCTTGCTCCGCTGCCCCCCTTCCCCACACACCTCTCCCCCCCCACGTGCCATCAGCTGGCTGCCCACCCAGGAGAACAGAGCCCTGCAGCAAGCAGCGGAGAGAACTATCGAGGCGCCTGGAAGACATATTGTCTTGCTCCGCTGCCCCCCTTCCCCACACACCTCTCCCCCCCCACGTGCCATCAGCTGGCTGCCCACCCAGGAGAACAGAGCCCTGCAGCAAGCAGCGGAGAGAACTATCGAGGCGCCTGGAAGACATATTGTCTTGCTCCGCTGCCCCCCTTCCCCACACACCTCTCCCCCCCCACGTGCCATCAGCTGGCTGCCCACCCAGGAGAACACAGCCCTGCAGCAAGCAGCGGAGAAAGTGACGCGGCTGTCTCTGGACCTGATTGCGAGGCGCAGACAGGAGCAAGCAGTGAGAGCTGGGGTTGGGTTGTTTGAAAAGGGGAGAGGGAGGAGGAAGAGCAGGAGAGGAGAGAGGGTCACAGCAAACAGCAGCGGAGGAAGTGACGCGGCGGTCTCTAGACCTGATTGCGAGGCGCAGACAGGAGCAAGCGGTGGGAGCTTGGTTGTGTGTAGGCGACTTTTGAGTCGACTCAAAAGTCACCTGGAGACAGGAGCAAGCGGTGGGAGCTTGGTTGGTGTGTAGGCGAGGGGAGGGAGGGAAGCTGGTGGTTCAAAGGAAGAACAGAGCGCTGCAGGTTTGGGGGGTTGGTGGGGGAACAGAGCGCTGCAGGTTTGGGGGGTTGGTGGGGGAACAGAGCGCTGCAGGTTTGGGGGGTTGGTGGGGGAACAGAGCGCTGCAGGTTTGGGGGGTTGGTGGGGGAACAGAGCGCTGCAGGTTTGGGGGGTTGGTGGGGGAACAGAGCGTTGCAGGTTTGGGGGGTTGGTGGGGGAACAGAGCGCTGCAGGTTTGGGGGGTTGGTGGGGGAACAGAGCGCTGCAGGTTTGGGGGGTTGGTGGGGGAACAGAGCGCTGCAGGTTTGTGGGGTTGGTGGGGGAACAGAGCGCTGCAGGTTTGTGGTCACTCATGGTTAGGAAGGGCTGCAGTGCCAGAGAAGGCTTTCAGCAAGAAAAGAAAGAGCATTCAAACCCTTGCTAAGAGAATCCTGAACTCAAAGACTGTTTTCACTCAATAGGAAAAGGTCGCAAACATGTTTCGGCAAGGAGGACCAGAGCGCTGCAGGTCTGGGGGATTGCTGGGAGTAGAGAGCGCTGCAAGTTTGGGGGGTGAGAGCTGGGGTCGTTTGTGGGGACGGGGGGAAGTTTGGGGGTTTGGTGAGAGACGAGAGCACTGCAGCAAGCAGGGGAGAGGGTGAGACGGCTGCCTTCCCCCCCTTCCCCCTCCCCCCCGTTCCCCTTTCCCCCTTTCCCCTTCCCCCCTTCCCCAGTCCCCCATTATCCCCTTCAACTTTTTCCCATTCCCCCATTCCCCTCTTTCCCCCTTCCCCTCTTCCCCCCTTCCCCTCTTACTCCCTTCTCCCCGCACCCCTTCCCCCATTCCCCCCATCCCCTCTTCTTCCCTTCTCCGCCCCTTCCCCTCTTCCCCCTTCTCCCCGCACCCCTTCTCCCATTTCCCCCAGGGCGACTCAAGGAAGGATCTTCTGGCAGTGATGCTGGCAGCGAGGGATGACGTCAGCAACGAGCAGATGACCGACCAGCAGCTGGTGGACGAATGCGTCACCTTCCTATTGGCCGGTACAGTGCGGTATTGTGCAGTGCAATGCGGTGCTGGGCGGCGCTATGAGGTGCTGTGTGGCGCTGGGGGGTGGGTGGGTGGGTGCTGCTGTGCGGTGATGAGGGGTGCTGTGCGGTGGTGGAGTGTATGACGTCAGCAACGAGTGCAGTGCAGAGGCGAGTGCAACACAGGCCATGCTCCCATGCTCTCCCACCCCTCCCATCGTTTCAGGCCACGAGACAACAGCCAAGCTGCTCACATGGGCTGTGTACCTGCTGGCCCGCTACCCTGAGTGGCAGGAGCGGGTGAGGGAGGAGGTGTGGCGGGTGATGGGGAGAGAGGAGATTCCTGAAGGTGGGGGAGGAGGAGGAGGGGCGAACAGGGAGGGAGGGGGGAAGAAACTGGGGGTAGGAGGGGAGAAGGGGGAGGGAGGAGGGGAAGGGGAGAAGGAGGAGGGGGGAGGGGAAGCGGGGAAGGGCAACGGGAGGAGGGGGGGCGGAAGAGAGGTGACGTGGGAGCAATTGAGCCAGCTGAGTGAGATGCACATGGTGCTGCTAGAAACACTCCGGCTCTTCCCCCCGACCCCTGTCATCACCCGCGAAGCAGTCAAGGTGAGGCCCTTTCAAGCAAGCAAGGTGAGGCCCTTTCAAGCAAGCAAGGTGAGGCCCATGCAATTCAGTGTGGGTATGAGCGTACGAGCGCAAGTGATAATGCGTGTTAGCATGTGCCTTGGAGGACACTCAGGCAAGTGGGGCAGGTGAGCGAGATGCACATGGTGCTGCTCTGACCCATGGTCGGGGGGGGAGATGCACATGGTGCTGCTCTGACCCATGGTCGGGGGGGGAGATGCACATGGTGCTGCTCTGACCCATGGTCGGGGGGGGAGATGCACATGGTGCTGCTCTGACCCATGGTCGGGGGGGGAGATGCACATGGTGCTGCTCTGACCCATGGTCGGGGGGAAACACTCCAGCTCTTCCCTCTTCCCCCTGGCCCCTGTCATCACCACCCGCGAAGCGACCTTTCTTCACTCGCTTCCATTCCCTCCCCTTCCCTATTGCAGCACGTCTCGCTGGGCCCCTCCTCTCTCCCAGCAGGCACGCGCATGTCAATGGCCTCTCCCAGCAGGCACGCGCATGTCAATGGCCTCTCCCAGCAGGCACGCGCATGTCAATGGCCTCTCCCAGCAGGCACGCGCATGTCAATGGCCTCTCCCAGCAGGCACGCGCATGTCAATGGCCTCTCCCAGCAGGCACGCGCATGTCAATGGCCTCTCCCAGCAGGCACGCGCATGTCAATGGCCTCTCCCATCGGCATAGCGCAGAGCAGAGCGACCCTCTCCCATTCATCCCATCCCATTCTTCCCTTCCCCCACCCGTTCCCCCACCCCTCCCCCACCCCTTCCCCCACCCCTTCCCCCACCCCTTCCCCCACACCAGCACGTCTCGCTGGGCCCCTACTCGCTCCCAGCAGGCACGCGCATCACTATGGCCATCGGCATGGCGCAGAGCGACCCGCGCTTCTGGGGGGAGGACGCTCTAGAGTTCAACCCAGCACGCTTCCAAGGTGAGATTCAACCGATCAAACCTCAGCGGTGGGCCGGGGAGGAAGCTCAGCGGCTCATTCGGGTGAGATTCAGAGATGGGCAGGACAGCCATACCATGGCTCAGAGGTACCCTCGCTTCTGCAGGGAGGACGCGTTCCGGTTCATCCCTTCCTCCCCCTACTGCCCTCCCTCTCCATCTGCCCCCAAAGATGGGATACAAGGAGCATGCCCACAGTGTGCTCCCTGAGAAACAATTTCTCACCCTATAAGGAGTGAGCAAGGAGGCTGCGCAGCACAAATGCACTTGGAGTGCTTGGATGTATGTATGGTACAAAACTATATGGAAAACACTTTTGAGAATTCTCAAAAGTGATTTACTTGGAGTGTTTGGATGTATGGTACAATACTAACCTCGCGGCATACTCACTTGAACAGCGGCCAGGAGAATGTTGCCAACTCGCATGACCTTACTGGCAGTTTCCAAGGCCACCCGCACCTTCGCAACGGTTGCTGACAAAGCAGATGCTGTGGAAAAGGTGTGTGTCAGCAGCTGCCAAAACTACCTTCCTCCCCTTCTCATAAGTCCCCACACCCACAGATGGGATACAAGGAGCATGCTTATCGTACACCCGCAAGCCTTGGAGTGGACTCATGACTCCCTTCCTATTCCCTCTATGCGTCTCCACTTCCACAGATGGGATACAAGGAGCATGCTCACACCCACAGGCGTTTCTGCCATTCTCAGCGGGCCCTAGGAGGTGCATCGGCTCCACCTTTGAGGCACCTCAAAAGCACCCGGCCCTTCCTCTCCTCCCCATGACTCCCCACAGATGGGATACAGGGAGCATGCTCACACCCACAGGCGTTTCTGCCATTCTCAGCGGGCCCTCGAGACTGCATCGGCTCAAACTTTGCTCTCTCGGAGGCCAAGGTGGTTCTTGCACACATGCTGAGTCGCCTCGAGTGGGAGCTCTCACCCACTTATGTACACTTGCCGACTATGGGGATCGCACTTAGCCCTAAATATGGCATGCCGCTTCGGATGAGGCTCGTGGAGTAGCTAATGATATGTGATACCTGTATTGTATGTGGGAATCTGTGAAGTGTTTGCTTTGTTTTTGCAGACTAGTTTTGCTGTTTTGTTTTGTAACCTGGCATATGAATATGCGTTATAACAAACGTCCTATATTGGAGCGTTTCAATCTAAAATTGCAATTTGAAGGATGTGGCAGTAATATTATGTAGTATGCGACAACCAGACTGTGTTATGGCAAAACACTGAAGCGTGTACCGCTTTTCTCCACCCAGACTGTGTTATGGCAAAACACAATGTGGAGTCTGATGTGCTCAAACGGTTCGCGCCAATTTCTTTTCCACCCCATGCCTGCCAGGCTGGAGCTGCTCTGACAGATGTTGCTGACACCGCACCGCACCCAGTTTTTCTAACCAATCATCATTCGCAACGAGCGACTCGAATTCCAGTTTGAATCTGGTTGGAGCATTTATGATGCGCCCCGCACCAGTATTGAACTTCAACACCTGGCTGGCTGGCTGGCACCTTCCTCACTTGACTGATCAGCACTACGTTTCAATTATATTAAACTTGGGTTTCATAAGTTTCGTTACGTTTTACTACGGTTTAGAGACGCTTCTCACATTCCAGCTGGTTTTGGCGCGAATCCCTACTGCCCAGCCACACAACCCCACGGGAGCATCCTCTTCTCTCCCGCGTCCTCTTGTCATGGCTTCCGTACAACTCGCTTCATTCGTTCAGCTCAGGTCAAATTCATATGAGCAGCAACTAGTAGTCCTTCTTTCTCCCCGGCGAATTATTAGCTTGTAAATTAGGATCAATTCCATCACAGGAGCCCTGACCTGGGGCGATTGAGGCTGCTAGTAAGAAAAGATCGCTCTCCATAGTCGTAGCTGCAATTTCCCGAAACAATCTTTGAGCCGTGCTGAAAAGTTGAGACGTCCACAGCTCTTGTGACGATTAAACGTTTTTCCACATAATAATTCAGATAGTGTTTCTCACAGAAATGACAATTGTTGACGGATACAGAGGCAGCTCAAAAGGCGGCACTACCGCGGCAAGCGGCGGGAGCACGTGGGCGGGAGACGATGTGTCTGTCCGCGTCTTCCCGTCGCCGTCTCCGCGAAGAAAACACCAGTCTCTTTCGCGAGTAACCCACTCGTCGCCCGTTTCGCCAACAGCTACTTCACCGCCCCTCGGCCCTTCGCGATTGTTTGCGTCGCCACCCGCATATCGCGAAAGAGTTTCGCCATATCGTGAGAGTAGCGTTACTTACTGCGATCGATCTAAACGAAGCTCGGGCGGACGCGTGCGGGGGAGCGGTTGTAGCGTAGCAAGTGGCGCGACAGAAACTCCACCGCGGGAGCGGAGTTGCGGCGCAAGGGGGTTCCGCGCATGGATGTGCTCCGCCGACTCCGCTTCCGCCGTTCCGCCGCTGTTCCGCTTGCGCACGCTGAACAGGCTACATCGCGCACTATCAGGCGGAGGCTGCATCTCAATCCTGCTTTTATTCGTCCTCGCTTTAGTCACTCTCGGTACAATCCTCCCTTATCTGCAATCCGAGCGACAATTCTTCGAAGACGTATTGGAGGAAGCGCGGGCTGCGCTCCGACGCCAAAATCTCATGAAACCGGTCCAGTTGCCGGAAGCCACGTCAGGTTTTCTCGAGGTGCCCGATGTTGTCGGGCAGCGGCGGTTTAGACAGCTGCTAAGCGTCGGCGATGGGGAAGGTGGGGAGAGCGGGGAGGGTAGGGAGATCGGGGAGGGCAGGGAGGGCGGAGAGGGCGGCGAGGGCGGGGAGGGCGGGGAGGAGAAGGGCGGGGAGGGCGGGGCTGTGTTGGAAGGAGGGGCAGGGTTCTTAGAGCAGCAGGCAGCGGATCAGCGGCGCCAGGAGCAGCTGCAACAGCGGGAGCAGGAAGGGTCTAGTTCTGTGCTTGAAATGGTGGTAAGCTCAACAGTCGAATCGTCGTCAAGCAACGTTCCTACTACCACGAGTAACGGGCCCGCCATTAGCGAATACAATCTCTTCGTGGACTCCCCCGAGATACAGCGCGAGCTGCGCGCAGTTGAAGAGCGCAGCAGCATTCCCTGGGCCTCCCTGCCCGCCGCTTGGTGGGGAGACGCTGCGCCATGGCCGAAACTACAAGGAGGTTTCCTCTGGGACGACGGTGGCAACCGTGAGAGCGACAATAACGGAAGTGACAATCACGAGAGCGGGAGAAATAACTCGGAGGCGCTCCGGACCCCCGCCCCCGGCGATCCCGCCCGCGCGCTCCCCGCTCCCCGTTCCCCCCGCCGATTCCTGTTCTTCTCTCTGCGCAACGAGGCGTGCGCGGGGGTGGCGCACACGCGCACCAGCCTCGCGTGCCAGCTGTCCGTCGCGCGCGCGCTCCGTCGCACGCTGCTCGTGGACGCGTCCCAATGCACCGCGCCCGAGCACGTGCGCGCCGCCGGCACGCGCCGGCACGTGCAGCCTCTGTTCGCGTACTTCGACCTGGCGCGCGTGAGCCTTGCGCCCATGGCTCCGCTGCAGCGGTTCGCACAGGAAAGCGCAGGGTGGGGGGCGCGGAACGGGGACGGGGCGCGGGGAGGGGAAGGAGAGCAGATAGAGAATGGGGAGAGTGGGGAGCATGGCGAGTGGGAACGAACGAGTGAGATGGGGGAGGAGATGAACGGGCAGGCGGAGCGCCTAACTGCTGCAATAGCCCCGGAATCCGCAACCCTGGAGGACCTGCTTCGGCTATCCGAGCCTGTGCTGCTGGTTCGGCAAGCAGCCACGGGATTCGCGGACTGCGAAGACCCCAGGAACGGCGGCCTGGTGGCTTCCGATTGGTCGGCCATAGAGTACAGACCGGAGCTGTGGGCGGTAGTGGGGCAGATTATAGCGAGTATGGATGGAGGGGACTATGATGCTGTGCATGTGAGGCGAGGGGATAAGGCGAGGGACACGACTCGCTGGCCCAACCTTGCTCGAGACACCTCTGTTGAAGCGTAAGTTGCTTGAAACACTTCTGTTCAAGTGCAACTTTCTTGGAAACTGCGCCTGTTTCTCTCCTTGCCAACTGTTCACTCCACAATCCCTTCCTCTAAGTGGAAAGGCCACGTAGCCCCAATCCCCCCAGCCCTCAGGCTAGCAGAAAAGCACCCCCGCCTCATTCCCCCTGGGAGATCAGTGTACATTGCGAGTGATGAGGCCAGCCCCTTCCCCCACCGGCGTTGACAACCCCTTTCACACCGCCCTCCCTCTGCCATCCCTTCGCTACCCCTCCCTCAGGCTAGCAGAAAAGCTCCCCCGCCTCATTCCCCCTGGGAGATCAGTGTACATTGCGAGTGATGAGTCCCCTTCCTTCTTTGATCCGCTGCGAGCGAACCAGAAGGGGCAAGGGGAGCAAGGGGGGCAAGGGGAGGAAGGGGATGAAGGGGAGGAAGGGGGGCAACGGGGGCAAGGAGGAGACGAGGCGCAAGGGGGAGATGAGGGGAAAGGAGCGCAAGGGGGTAAGGGGAAGGGACGGAACGGAGGGGGCGGAGGGGGACTGTACCGAGTGCATATGCTGGGGCAATATGCGCACCTGTGGGGGGAGGGCAGCGACTGGTGGAGGGCGCAACTGACGCTCATGGAGGGGCAGGGGGAGGTGGCATTTGATTCGTATATGGAGGTGAGTTCTGAGAGACCCTAAAGCTCATGGAGGAGGGCAGGGGGAGGTGGCATTTGATGCTTACATGGAGGTGAGGCCTTGGTGGGTTGTGAGAGTGAAAGAATCGTATGCATGGGTGTTGAGAAGAGCAGTTTTACTGGGCTGGGACATGGAGGGCCGGAAGAGGTGGCGTTTGATTTTTCCATGAGAATTAGCATGTTGGCTTGTGAAACTGAGACAAGAGGTGCTGGTCTGAAAGGTTTGTTGTGCTGTCACATGAAGATTTCTTATGCACCCTACTGCCTCTTCGCCTTACATTATATGCCTTACGCAACTTGAATGTGATGTCATTTGTATTTCAACGCACTGGGATGTCTAAATGGTCATTGCCTTTCTCCCCTCCTCAATCAAATGCCCTTCTCAACTTGAATGTAATGACCTTCAGGCCATAGTGGATTATTCCGTCTTTGCGGCTGCCCGAAGAAGAGTGGAGACCTTCAATGACTTGACAGACGATCCTCGGAATGGCATCTCGTGACCAGATATTACTACTTTTGAATGAGCACTAACATTGGTTGACAAAATTATCCCCCAAACGGCAAAGCTACGGTTGACTTTTGTTTCTCACCAGTCCATTTTCCAGTCGCATATGATTGTGTCTGTTTTCGTTGATAGATTGACGAGATGGCGGGTGCTGAGATGGTTTGTAACTAATGCTGCGTTCTGGCATGTTATGGTATTGTGGCTCTGGAAAATGCAGCTGTATATGCGTTGCATCATGTATATACTTTTGGTAGGTGAACGGTTATAGTCGCAGTTATCTGATAGCCTTATGGCGAAGGCGTCAGAAGCAGGCCTCAGGATTACAGGGCATTTTACCCTGATTAGCCTGTTTTTCAGGGTGCGTTTTTCGGACCACACTGTAAATACAGGATTCAAGGGTTCTACCACCCTGTCACGATCAGGCCTCGTGAAATTTTGACCCTTGTTTTGCAGTTGTTGGTTTCTGTAGCACACTGCCTAGGCCGAGTTCAGTAGTGGCAGCACTCTGAGTTTTTTTTCCCCTTAGTAGAAATTTAGCCAATCCTATGCTCCCGTCAGTTCCAGCCAAAACGTGGCTGTCACTCAAGTCCTCGCCACGGAGACACTCACACATACACCACGTCAAGCATCGGATGTGCTCGAAGACTGGCTAAAACGTGGCTGTCACTCAAGTCCTCGCCACGGAGACACTCACACATACACCACGTCAAGCATCGGATGTGCTCGAAGACTGGCTCCACGGAGACACTCACACATACACCGCGTCAAGGACGGAAAAACTGCAGCGTATATTGTTTTTTCACCCTGCCATACCAGACCAGAAAATATTCAACACCCTGCCATTTCTAGGGTAAGGCGCGGCAGCCACACTGCAGTGGCAGTGTGACTTTGACCTGGAACTTTGATTTGGCAGGGTGGCCCAAAACGAATCAAGACCCCTGGTCAGAAGCTCGTGGTGGTGGCTATGGGCCCTGTTCTGTTGCCCATCGGCAAAATGGTGGGCGGACAGCACTGCACCGCATCAGCTGTGCGACAGGAGGCTCGGGGCGCATCAAAAATTTTGAAGGCTCATGACCAGGGGTCTTGATTCGTTTTGGGCCACCCTGCCAAATCAAAGTTCCAGGTCAAAGTCACACTGCCACTGCAGTGTGGCTGCCGCGCCTTACCCTAGAAATGGCAGGGTGTTGAATATTTTCTGGTCTGGTATGGCAGGGTGAAAAAACAATATACGCTGCAGTTTTTCCGTCCTTGACGCGGTGTATGTGTGAGTGTCTCCGTGGAGCCAGTCTTCGAGCACATCCGATGCTTGACGTGGTGTATGTGTGAGTGTCTCCGTGGCGAGGACTTGAGTGACAGCCACGTTTTAGCCAGTCTTCGAGCACATCCGATGCTTGACGTGGTGTATGTGAGTGTCTCCGTGGCGAGGACTTGAGTGACAGCCACGTTTTGGCTGGAACTGACGGGAGCATAGGATTGGCTAAATTTCTACTAAGGGGAAAAAAAACTCAGAGTGCTGCCACTACTGAACTCGGCCTAGGCAGTGTGCTACAGAAACCAACAACTGCAAAACAAGGGTCAAAATTTCACGAGGCCTGATCGTGACAGGGTGGTAGAACCCTTGAATCCTGTATTTACAGTGTGGTCCGAAAAACGCACCCTGAAAAACAGGCTAATCAGGGTAAAATGCCCTGTAATCCTGAGGCCTGCTCACGCTATCTTCCTGCCCCCCTCCGCGTATTTTCTCGGCTAAGGTTTTGTTTTCGATCGCAGACCGTCAATCTTCCTCTCGCCACCAACTATTGGATGGTGGGATGGCCTGAAAGCAAACGGACCAACCAGGACAAAGAAAAACATTTTCCCCTGCCCTGAACCACTTGGTGCGGACCCTTGGTGCGGCCCTCCATGTCCCAGCCCTCTCAGAGGGGGGCCCTGGTTCCCCGACGGCCACATCGCCCATGCGATTTCGCCAGAGGCTCCAACGGGTCCAAGCAGTCGAGATTTTGCTCAGCAACGAGCAGAGTTGACGGCGGGCCCAGAATAAAGGAACATTATTATATCCAGCACCGTCGCGTGTGAACGTTCAGGTTCACAACAGGAAGCAATTTTGAGTTGAGGTTCACTCGACAGATTTCGCTCAACACAGCTGGTAAACACAGTGCGACGAGCGAAATAACGACGAAATCCCGGTCACTTGGACACCGTCTCTCACGGTCGGTCATAACGGCGTGTTGCAATTTGCGGTGCACTGCATCGGCACGGCTCGGGGCACGGGTAAGGAAGGCTCAAGGAAAGCAAGAGGCCGTCAATTTTTTTACAGAAAACGCGCAAAAAAATATATGTCCTATTATAACCTTGGCAAATAACTCTTTGAATCACTATCTTGAAACATTTCTTTCCTGAATCAGTGCCCGTGTTTGGCCTCCCGCTTGCCTGGAGCCTTCCAAACGTTCCGAGCCGATGCAGTGCACCGCAAATTGCAACACGCCGTAATACTCGTCTGACAGCAAAGTAAAGTAAAGTAAAGTAAAGTGAAGTTATAGGGGAAACCCCCTTTGGTATTACCCCGGCTGTCGGTCGTAACCCGCCTCCCCATGTGTTTACACGCCTTGCTGGGTAACGAGGTTGTTCTATCCACTCCCAGATGAGCACCTGTGTAGTCCCTTTAGTGGGGACTGGCTGTTAACGCCGCAGGGGGGATTTGATCCCGGGACCTTATCTTTCGGAAGTGAACCAGCTAACTAGCTGGGCCACTTCAGGATAATACTCGTCTGACAGCAAAATCTGCCCGCGAAACCAGCTAAAGAAAAATGTATTTTCAAAAGCACCCATACCCCAGCCATTCCCGCAAGTTGGTCGGTTCGCGCTGCTTGCCTAGATTCAGCCGAGCCGCATGTCGTGACATTCCAATGTCGCGGCTCGGGCGCTGGATTTTCCTCCCAGAAGCACCGACCGACTGGAATGCAAGCCCCGCTTCCCCACATACAAAACCTGAGTCTTTCCTCCTATTCATCAAACATTCCTTCTACCAAACACTAGTGAGCGACGGTTGTCATCCCGAGCAACTATCGCAAGCAATCCTGCCACCTTTCTAGCACTCGCCTCGTCGCCACCACCAGCATTTCACGTGCGGCAGCTACTCAACGCTAGCTATGTCGACCGCTCGTTTGCTCCCGGCGCTTTTGGCAATCCTCGCCCTCTCATGTAAGGCTTAGTATTCAGTATTCCAGCTTTCACTCTCCTCACTTTCTCAACATTTATCTCCACGCATGCCAATCTCGTCGCATTTCAAGACTCGTCCAACTCCTATCGCAACACTCTGAACATTTTATTTCGGAGTCCCCATTACCAGTTCCCTCGTTTAACCCTCCCATGATTTGTTTTTTCCCTGGCTTCTTTGCTCACCCGTTCTTCAGGCCAAGCTGACGCCAGAAAGATCCAAGAAGTCCCCGCCAATCCCGCCAATCCCGCCAACCCCGCCAATCCCGCCAACCCCGCCAATCCCGTCGACCCCGCCAATCCCGCCAACCCCGCCGTCCCCGAAAACCCTGCCATTATCACCGATCCCGTCGCCCCCGCCATCAGCACCGCCGCCGCGCCGAGCCCAAAATCGAGTGGCCCCGCCGGCCACAAGGTCAAGGCGCCCAATCCCAAGGGCAAGGCTCCCGGCGGAAAGGCTGCCCCCGGCGGAAAGTCTGCTCCAGGCGGAAAGGCTGTTCCAGGCGGAAAAGCCGCCTTCGGCGGCGGAAAGCAGGCACCGGGCGGAAAGCAGACGCCAGGCGGAAAGCAGGCGGCAGGCGGAAAGCAGCAGGGCGCAGGCGGCGCAGGCGCAATCCGCGGACCGAAGGCGCATCCCGCCCCCAGCCCCGCCGCCAGCCCCAACCCCAGCCCCGCCGCTGGTCCCGCGGTCGCCCCCAGCCCCAGTTCCGCGGAGCACAAGAGGAAGCCGCTGGGGAAGCAGGTGGGGAAGGTGGGGACCGTTCTCCGCGGATCTTCCGTCATCACCGCATCCGGCGGCGACGAGAACGCGACGGGCAACGCGATCCTGACCGTCTATAAGAGCGGCGCGAAAATGAACGTCAGGTATATCCTATCCGTTCGCCGCGTGTCTGCGGCCCAGCTGCCGATGGGTGCGACGATTAACAGCGGCGGAAGCGGCGCGACTGGTCCCGTGGTGGTGGATTTCGCCCGGGAAGGTTGGGTGAACACGACGGGCGTCGTTCGCACGCAGGCTGGCGACGTCGTTCTCGCGTCGTCCGTCGCAGAGAACTCGACGGAGGCGGCTGTCGCCGAAGCCGCGGACGACTATCTCAGCTATGCGACGACTGGAGTGTGGGAAGACGTCGCCAACATTCGCACGGCCTCTGGCGAAGCCCTTTCCACCGTGATCGAGAGAATTTTGGCTGACCCGGGCAGCTTTTATCTGGTTGTGTCAACGCCGAATTTCAGCGAGGGGGCTGTGCGCGGGCAGCTGCGCAAGGGCACTGGCGCAACTGTGCTTCCGCCCGGCCACCAGCGCCAGTGGGAGCAAAGGGGGAAGAAGAAGGCGGGCAAAGGGGAGAAGGCGCAACCCCCCCGCAACTAGACCTTTCCAGCCAAGCTATACACCTCGTGCTACTCCCTGATAGCGTAGAAAACGTTTACAAGATCCATCCTCTGTTTGGATCGTAGCTTCTTAGTGTAGCTAGTAGCTTTATACACTGGCATGCTTATCTTTGCCTGATACCATGTCATGGATGGAACGATTTTTGGCTGTACTGAATACCATGCCCTCTCACAAGCCAGGCTGAGCTGAACATGATAGGGATATGATTTTGGCCTCACCAGCAGAAGTGATGGGCATGTTGTGTCGAAATATCTGGGTATAAGAATCCACTTGAGCATGGTATGGTATGCTAACTCAAGCCACCCAATCATGCACCTGAGAGGGTGTGGTGATGATGAAGATGGGGAAATGAAGGCAGGTTAGGCTAGGGTGTGGATAGGACCTGGGCTGGATGACTTTTGAACTGACTGGAAAGACGAAGGTCAGGTCATATCTGTGTCGACTCACAACACAAGTCAAGACTCATTCTGAGTCACCTCAAAGTCATCTCGAAGACTCCTCTGTCGAATGAGTTAGCAGGGTGTGGTGATGGGGAACAAAGATGGGAATGCAGCCAAGCTAGGCCAGGCTAGGGTAGGGCTGGTTAGGGCTGGGTGGGGCTGGGTAAGGCTGGGTTCATCCTGAGTCATCTCAAAAGTCGTCTCGAAGACTCCTGTGCTGGATGAGCCAGCAGGGTGTGGTGATCGGAAACAAAGATGGGAATGCAGGCAGGCTTTTTTGGGTAGTCTAGGGTAGGCTAGGGTAGGCTAGGGCACGGCTGGGTCGAGGATAGGGCCTGGGCAGGGTGATTTTTTAACAGACAAGAAAGTCAACGACTGATTCTGAGCCACCGCAAGTCATCTCAAAGACTCTCGTGATGGATGGGTTAGCAGCAGCGTGTGGTGATGGGGAACGAAGATGGGAATGCAAGCAGGCTAGGCTAAGGTACGGCTGGGTAGGCTAAAGGAAGGGCTGGGTAGGCTAAGGTAGGGCTGGGTAGGCTAAGGTAGGGCTGGGGATAAGCTTACAGAGCGTGGTGGTGGGGAATGAAGATGGGAATGCAGGCAGGATGGGCTAGGCCAGACTAGGCTAGGGTAGGGTTGGGTGGGGCTGGGTAGGGCTGGGTAAGGCTGGGTGAGGCTGGGTGAGGCTGGGTGAGGCTGGGTGAGGCTGGGTGAGGCTGGGTAGGGCTGGGTAGGCTAAGGTAGGGCTGGGTAGGGCTGGGTAGGGCTGGGTAGGCTAAGGTAGGTCTGGGTAGGTCTGGGTAGGGCTGGGGCCGAGGACAGAGCTAGCAGGTGGTGGTGGTGGGGGTAAGGACAGGGATACGGGCCAGGCCATGCTAGGGCCGGGCTGGTGCCGAGGGCAGAGTTAGCTGGTGATGGTGATGATGGGGATGAAGACAGGGATACGAGCCAGGTCATGCTAGGGCCGGGCTGGGGTTGATGACAGAGGCTGGGCGGGCCGGGGGCAGGGGCAAGGCGGGGCGCGGGTGGGGACGGGGCCGGGGGTGGGTGGATTTAGCAGTCAAAGCGATGGACAGTCTGAATATGCGCAAGTGAGAGTGGTGGGATGGTGGGATTAAAGAGAGGGTCCTGAGCTCATAGGAAACAGTGGGCGTTGGGTTGGGAAGCAAGAGTAGCGCTGCAGTGAGGGTGTTGCTGTGAGCCGTTGCGAAAAAGAGTCAGGAGTCAGGGCAACCTGAGTAATGGAGAGCACGCTATATAGTTATGCTCGTTATATATTGCAGACAAAGATACTCACAAACACCTAAGCCGCCTAAATTGCTAAAAGAAAACAAAAATAGACTCACCTAACCTATACTTGGCGCAGAAACGTTTACTCTGCAAGCAGACTGTTTCCCAAGGGAGGTCAGAAATCAGGATATCTCAATCACGGGCATCTCCCCTGCACCTCTACTGCACCCGCCTGCTGCTCTTTTGAGGCGCCTCAAAAGTTGTCTCCCAAGGGAGGTCAGGAATCAGGATATCTCAATCACGGGCATCTCCCCTGCACCTCTGCTGCACCCTCCTGCTGCTCTTTTGAGGCGCCTCAAAAGTTGTCTCCCAAGGGAGGTCAGGAATCAGGATATCTCAATCACAGGCATCTCCCCTGCACCTCTGCTGCCCCCTCCTGCTGTTCTCGCCCAAACTTTGAGGCGCCTTACAAAGGAGGTCAGGATATCTCAATCACAGGCATTTCCCCTGCACCTCTGCTGCACCCTCCTGCTCCTCCTGCTCCTCCTGCTCCTCTACTCCCTCCTGCTCCTCCTGCTCCTCCTGCTCCTCCTGCTCCTCCTGCTCCTCCTGCTCCTCCTGCTCCTCCTGCTCCTCCTGCTGCTCTACTCCCTCCTGCTCCTCTCGCCCTAACCTCCCCAACCTCCCTCGCCACCCTCACCACACACTCCTCATCCACCTCCTGACACCGCGCCAGCTGGCACCTCTCGATTCGCCCGCACCCCTGCAGCACGTGCACGACGCCGTGTGTGGTAACCCCGTTACAGGCGCGGAGGGAGAGGGTGGAGAGCAGCGGGCAGTGCGAGGCGATGGTGTGAAGGAGGAGGTCGGAGAGGTGGCTGGCACGGAAGCCAGAGAAGCACATGTGCTGCAGGCTGTGGCATGACTGCAGCAGCGGGATGAGGCCCGCCTCTGAGATCTCCCTGTGAGAAGGGAAGGGAGGAGCACATTAAAGGATCGAGTGAGTGAAAGGCTCGGAGGAAAAGAAGCCAGAGAAGCACATGTGCTGCAGGCTGCGGCATGACTGGATTTGAGGGATGAGCCCCGCCTCTGAGATCTCCCTGTGAGGGAGGGAGGAGGAGGGCAGGAAGGGAAGAATGGACATGTGAGAGGAAGCCAGAGAAGCACATGTGCTGCAGGCGGTGGCACGACTGCAGCAGCGGGATGAGCCCCGCCTCTGAGATCTCCCTGTAAGAAGGGGAGGGATGAGCATGTGGAAGGATAGAGTGAGTGAAAGGGACGGAAGGAAAGGAAGCCAGAGAAGCAGATGTGGTGCAGGCGATGGCACGACTGCACCAGGGGGATTAGCCCCGCCTCTGAGATCTCCCTGTGGGCGGGCAGCAGGGGGGAAGGAGTGCGGGAGGGTGGGAGGGAGAAAGGGAGGGATGGGTATGTGAAATGTGAGAGCCGTGTAGGGAAAGGAAGGTAACGGGGAGCCCATCCAGCCCCTCCAGCTGCAGACTCTCCAGCCCGCTCCACCCCAGCACACCCCAGCACACCCCAGCACCGCACTGAGCTGAACTGCACCCAGCAGCACCGCATTACACCGCAATACACCACAGCTTACCTGCAATACTCCACGGAGATGCTGGAGAGGCGGGGGCAGGTGGCAGCAGCGAGCAGCAGGAAGGAATCGGAGAGCCCATCCAACCCCTCCAGCTGCAGACTCTCCATCCCACTCCACCCCAGCTGCAGCAGCGGCAGCACGTGTGACTGTAGCCGGTGTGACTGTAAACTGTGTGACTGTATTTCATGGGCGTGCGTGTCAGGTGATTGTAAAGGGTGTGCGGGTGCGTCAGGGGATTGTGCAGGATGTGAGTGTGTGTCGGGTGACTGTAAGGGATGCATTTGTGTCTCTGGTGATTGTAAGGAATGTGTGTGTGCGTCGAGTGACTGTACGGCATGTAACTGCAGCACATGCGTTTGTAGCGCATCTGACTGTAACTCATGGGTCTGTAACACCTCTGGATGTAACCCATGGGGATCCACGCCACGGGGTGGCAGCAAAACAGGAGCAGCAGACACCTCTGCATGTACTGGGACAAAAGAGGCCGCCCAAGAAGCAGGTGGAGACAAAATTGCACGAGTAGAACCCAGCACGTCCCTCGCGAGCTGGTGGCCAGTGAAGCCGGGGCTCCATTTGAGCTGCAGCGATCGCAACCCCACTCCATGCACCACCACCGCCCGTAAACTCTCATCCGTCACCCTCGCCCCTCCGCTGCTACCATTGCCCTCTCCGCCCCCATCGCCTCCTCCCCCTCTCCCTCCTCTTCTTCCTCCTCCCCCTTCTCCTCCTCCGACTCCCTGCCCTGCATCGCACCCACTCAGTGTCAGGGAGTTGATTGTCGGGCAGCCTTTCAAGAGAGCCACGATGCCTCTGTCACTCACGCCCTCGCAGTCCACTATCTCAAGACTCTTCAACCGGGCAGCTGTTCGGGCAGCGGTGAGGAAAAACCGGTCGAGCGGGTCCGGGCAGGCCATGACGGTCAGCCTGCGCAGGGCGGGCAGCTGCCCGGCAAACATTTCCAGCCAATGAGCATCGAGCGCGCAGTTGATGATTTTCAAGGAGGAGAGGTTGGGGAAGGATGCAGCAAGATTGCTTCCCCGCCCTGCTGCTTCCCTCCCCTCTGCTCCTGCTTGCGCCTCTCCACTCTCCATCACTGCCCCACCCCACCCATCTGGCTCATTCACTCTCACTGCCCCATCCCCCTCATCTGTCCGCCCACCCTCATGCGGCCGCCCTGCGCCTTGATCCGCCCTTGCCCCCTCACGCCCCTCGCCACCCTCCATGCCGCCAGCACCTCTCTCCGCCTCTCCTCCCGCCTCCCCCATCCGAACATCCTCCCCTGCCCCCCCCCTCTCCCTTTCCCCTTCCCCTCCCCGCATCCTTTCTGCTTCCCCTCCCGCTGCTCTCCCATCCATCCCCACCCTCTCTTCCGCTCTCCCTTCCCATTCACCTACCCCTCTCCCCTCCCATATCCCTCTCCCTTCCCCTATCCCTCTACCTTCCCATTCCCCTCTCTCTTCCGCTATCCCTTCCCCCGCCGCTCCCCCGCCTGCACGCCCTCCACCAGGCACACTGCGCGCTTTCTTTGCTTGTGGCACAACGAACAGAGTCAGATCCCCCAAAACCATCCCCTCCAATCCGGGACACATCACCGCCAGCTCAGCAAACCCGCCGCCACTCACCTTCGGACAGCTGGCGATGGAAATCTCCTTGAGCCCCCCGCACTTGGCCACGTGGCGCAGAAACCCGTCCGTTAAGTGCGTGCAGTTATACACCGTCACTTTGCTAAGCATCGGGTGCCCTTCCACGCATCGCCAAAACTCGTCCGCGGAAGGCATTGGGTCGTGCATCTCAATATGCCGTATACAGCGCCCCCACGTGGTAATCGTGTTGCACATGTAGGTTTTCAGTCCCTGGTGAACCTCGAACTCGCCGCAGTTACAGATGGAGAGGTATTCCACCTGTGTGCCGGCCACCTGCTGGATCTGCAGGGGCGTGTTGAGAGAGAGGAGCCGCACAATGGCTGACCCGTCGAGAACATCCGCGTCGCTGATAGGAAAGGCGGGGACGGAAGCAGGCGGATTGGAGGCCGCTGTGGGGGCGGATTGAGGTTCGCTCCGCGTTTCTCCTCCCCTAGTAGTGGTAGCCCTTGTTCCGCCTCCCCCAGACCTTGTTCCGCCTCCCCCAGCCCCTGTTCCGCCGCCCCCAACCCCTGTTCCGCCGCCCCCAGCCCTTGTTACTCCCCCCGCCCGCACTCCCCCTCCGCCTGGGCGCTTGTGGTGGCGGTCCTCCGCGCGCTGCTCCCGCGGAGCCCCCGGAAGCACGGTGGGGCCGAAGAAGCGGATGCGCAACGTGCGGATGAGGGGGAAGCGGCGCAGCACGAAGCGGAGCTCGGCCGCGCTCACCTGCGGGGAGCGGCGGGCGGGTGGGGGGGGTGGTAAGCGGTGGGGGGGAAGGGGGGGGAGGGGAGGAGGGGGGGTTGGGGGAGAGATGGGAAGCCCCCAGGGGGAAGGACGTACTATGGTCGAGGTTACTACCTTGTTTGGCTGAGCCCTTTGGTTTTCCCTCAGAAGAGGAGGATTTCTCGGGTGGAAAAAAATGGTTACCAACGGAACTGACTCTTATTTTTAGGGTTTCAAAAGCGAGTTACCTCGCCTTGCCGCATGGTGCCGCGGCATGGGGGAGGATGGGAGTGTGACCACGTGATGTCGTCGTGATTTTACCTCGCCTGCTGCCGCCTGCAGAGTAACTTGGAACGGCCCGTCACATGGAAAATGCGGTTTTACGTGCCGCTGCATGTTTCAACGCCGCGGCAAAACGATGGATCCCAAGGGATGAGACGAACATCATACCTCGCTCTGCATGTAATGCGGCAGCAGTCGCTCGTAGCGAAACCACAGGCGACACACGAGCGACACGGAGCACCTGCGACGGACAGATGCGAAAAGATCTTCGCGATCACGTCGCGCGGCAGCTTGTGGATCGCCGCCGGCTCGTACGCCGGCCACGGCGGCGGATGCGCCGGCGGCGGTTGGCTCGGTGGATAAGTCGGAGGAAACCGAACCTGCTTGGTTGATTGCGAGGCCGGCGGGGAATCCATAATGCCTTGGGTCAAATCCTATTTGGAGACCGTCACGCTAGCGCCAGCGAAAACGGTTGTGCTACGATGAGTGAGGATGTAAAGGACGCCAATATGACTAATGCAGGCCGAGAGTGGTAACGGAGAGCTGACGAGGTTCTTTTCTTAGTAATGTTTCCTCTAATGCAGATGAAGGGAAAAATCAATTTGAGTGCATAAGGCATCCAGCCGAATACTTCGATGTGAGGTGTGGGAGTGGGAGAGAGGCGGAGGGTCTGATGGAGGGAGTGAGAGTCGTGAAGACATCCAACTGACACTAGAAGACACACCGATCCCTAGATGGTGGTGGGGTATGTGACGCGTCCTCTCAACTACATCTGCGCGTCTCCCCCGCCCCCACTCTTTGATAACAGCAGTTCCGCGGATTAACTGTAGATGCACGCCTTGGGGGTTGTTACCGTATCTCGAAGAAATTAATAACCAGCGAGAATGGCTGTGCCGAGGGTGTGAAACAGTTTCAGCACTTGGGGTACCGAAACCCAGACTGCTTCTGTGACGAGCGTCGCCAAGGGCAAATTGGCCCTCAACGAAGATGGTTACTGTGCTGGATTACTCGGTAACTCTGGAAAGCAACTCGAGCTCTGGGCCCTGATAGGCCCTACCCAAATTCCCAACGCTCAGTGGAAGGGTGGAACGCTTCGGCCACCCACCCACCCATCAGCCACCAGGAACAACGAGGCCACCAGCCAGCGCAACTGTAGATGCTACGTCAGCTCGGTAGCAGCCGTTGTGCTGACTTGTAAAGTTGAGCGTCAGCTCGGGATGCGATCCCACGTGCTGATTTCCCGCTTACGAACCAAGGTTCTACATTAGTTTGACGGTTTAAGACGTTGCAAAACGGTGCTGGCGTTTGTTCGCCCACCGAACGTGCGGCGAGGGCATCCTCGACGGTGTGTCCACGCCCACGTGCAAAAATGCGACATGTGCGAAAATATTGAAGGATATACAGAAATGCGACTTGTTATAATATGTTCAGTGCAATTCTTATGTAAGCTACGGTACATCAAACCTAGTCTCAAGTCGCAGTATCTAGCCGAGCCTGCAATGTAAGAGGCTGTGATTTATATGATGCAGGGACTGGAACGTTTGCAACGGGAAAATTTATGCAAAAGTTACAGATTTGGCGAAATATGGGTGAACCAGGATGAAATTTGTGGTTGTGATATTGAACAAGGGCACAACGTGATACCAGGACTTTGGTTTTGCAAGAGTGTTAAACCATAAATCCCCACTCGAGAGAGAGAGAGAGAGAGAGAGAGAGAGAGAGAGAGAGAGAGAGAGAGAGAGAGAGAGAGAGAGAGAGAGAGAGAGAGAGAGAGAGGGAGAGGGAGAGGGAGAGAGAGAGAGAGAGAGAGAGAGAGAGAGAGAGAGAGAGAGAGAGAGAGAGAGAGAGAGAGAGAGAGAGAGAGGGGGGGGGGGAGAGGGAGAGGGAGAGAGAGAGAGAGAGAGAGAGAGAGAGAGAGAGAGAGAGAGAGAGAGAGAGAGAGAGAGAGAGAGAGAGAGAGAGAGAGAGAGGGAGAGAGAGAGAGAGAGAGAGAGAGAGAGAGAGAGAGGGGGAGAGAGAGAGAGAGAGAGAGAGAGAGAGAGGGAGGGAGAGGGAGAGGGAGAGAGAGAGAGAGAGAGAGAGAGAGAGAGAGAGAGAGAGAGAGAGAGAGAGAGAGAGGGAGAGGGAGAGGGAGAGAGAGAGAGAGAGAGAGAGAGAGAGAGAGAGAGAGGGAGAGGGAGAGGGAGAGGGAGAGAGAGAGAGAGAGAGAGAGAGAGAGAGAGAGAGAGAGGGAGAGGGAGAGGGAGAGAGAGAGAGAGAGAGAGAGAGAGAGAGAGAGAGAGAGAGAGAGAGAGAGAGAGAGAGAGAGAGAGAGAGAGAGAGAGAGAGGGGGGGGAGAGGGAGAGGGAGAGAGAGAGAGAGAGAGAGAGAGAGAGAGAGAGAGAGAGAGAGAGGGAGAGAGAGAGAGAGAGAGAGAGAGAGAGAGAGAGAGAGAGGGGGAGAGAGAGAGAGAGAGAGAGAGAGAGAGAGAGAGGGAGGGAGAGGGAGAGGGAGAGAGAGAGAGAGAGAGAGAGAGAGAGAGAGAGAGAGAGAGAGAGAGAGAGAGAGAGAGAGAGAGAGAGGGAGAGGGAGAGGGAGAGAGAGAGAGAGAGAGAGAGAGAGAGAGAGAGAGAGAGGGAGAGGGAGAGGGAGAGGGAGAGAGAGAGAGAGAGAGAGAGAGAGAGAGAGAGAGAGAGGGAGAGAGAGAGAGAGAGAGAGAGAGAGAGAGGGAGAGAGAGAGAGAGAGAGAGAGAGAGAGAGAGAGAGAGAGAGAGAGAGAGAGAGAGAGGAAAATTTCTCCTTGTATTCTATCCCTCTGGGTCTGGGTGGACCTTGTGTGTGGGTGCCCGAGCGTGAGCTGGGCAGGGGAGTGTCGAAGAGAAAGGCCCCGCCCTCGCTTGGGCGCAGCCGATCTCGCCGTCAACGAGAAGTTCGCGACGGATTGGTTGACGAAATGGGCTTCTGCAGTTCGACGGAAGTTGCGGTCGAGCAGGCTCTGCTCGACAGAATCTGGTCGACGAGCTCTGCGCGACGAGCTCTGGTCGACGATCTCTGCGCGACGAGCTCCCGTTGAAGAGCGCTGGTCGACGATCCTGGTCGAGGAACTCTGGTCGAAGAGTTCGGGTCGAGGAGCTCTGCTCGAGGAGTTCGGGTCGAGGAGCTCTGCTTGGCGAGTTCGGGTCGAGGAGCTCTGCTCGGCGAGTTCGGGTCGAGGAGCTCTGCTCGGCGAACGCTGTTCGACCGAGCGATGTCGAGCTGATCGACCGAAGTTGCAGAGCTGTGCGAAACTCTGCAGAGGCGTGCGAACTTTCGCCCAGGAGATTTTGGCGAAGTTCTACCTGCGGAATGGCATCACGTGGTCGACGGTGCGCACCTGGCAAAACCGATGACACGTTTTCTACCTGGCACCTGCGCAATGTGCCTGACGGTGAAACCGCCAACCTGCACCTACTTGGTAGGTGCGCACATCTGCGCAGATAGACAACCTGCGACTGCAGATAGTTGCCTGCGACTGCAGATAGTCACCTGCGACTGCAGTGCTGGCAGACCGCGCGCAGTGCAACGTTGGCAGACCACTCTGCTGCAACGTTGGCAAGCTGCTGTTCTGCTGCGCTGGCAGATTTCGCCCTTGCTAGGTGTTGCATGCCCTTCTAGTCCTTTTGTTCTGCATGCCTAATTTTGTACTATCAACTTTTCTTTGCAAGTTGTTCTTTCCTTAGTGGAATTCTTGCCAAACTTCTCTGTGAACACAAGCAAGAAGTAAGAACGCTACTAGCAAGCTACGATCACTCGCACAACCCCGTGCCCTCCTTCGTAGTCCACTCCCGTTGTGTAGTGACTCTCCGCATGGTGCGGTGAGCGTGGACGGCCCCGTGTTAGAACCTTCATATTAACCGACTTCTGCGTTCATTACCTAAGTTGTTGTTAGGCCGGCAGCCGTCTTAGTCGCCATGGTCGACCCCGTGGTCGAAGCAGGTGTAGAAGATACCGTGCAGGCGAGAGAGGCTGGTGTTCGGGCACGCCACGAGGCTGGCGGGTACGGCGAGGCGGACTTGGAGATTCTGCTCCTTGGAACTCGTGCGCAGTGGGCGCGTGAGCATCCCCCTCCCCGTGCAGAAGCGGACGACGCGTCCGCCTCTCCCCGACCCGTGCACAACGAAGGTGATGGCGGCAATGTTGTCGGCGGTGGAAGCACGAGGGTTCGCGGAGTGATACGGCCCGCCGACGTCAGCGTTGGCAGAATGCAGGCGCAAGTGCTGCGATCGTCTGCGACTGGAGGCAGCTCGAACGACAACATCGATGGTCGACGTCAATCGCCTCTGCGGAATGGAGTCGGGCCGACTTCGGCGACTCATGCGTCGGCTGGTCGAGACGGAGGCATCGCGCCGGCGTACGGATATTTTAAATTTTCGCCGGACAAGATCGCTGTGCCGAAGCTGCTGGAAGGTCGACACGACTTGATCACATGGATCGAATCCATTGAGCCTCAGCTGGAGATCGCCGGATTGAAGAAGTTCGTCGACGGCAATGTTGACATGCCGGACGCAGACGACTCTGAACTCTGGGCGGAATTTCGTGCTGCTCATCTACTAACCTTCATGGTCATTTCGAGGTGTTGCTCGCCTCTGGTGTAGGTCGCATTGACATCGTGCAGACAACGGGTGGATGCTGGCTACCAAGCATGGCAGTACATCATGCGCACCTACAAAGCGACCGACGACCTCTACATCAGTCAACTGGAGAAGAAGTTGACCAACATTCGAATGGGGGAGCAGGAATCGGCGACCGAGTACTGCAATCGAGCGTGGCGAGACTTGGCCGATCTGCGGATGGCCGGCGTCGACTACTCGGTGGCGTCGTATGTCACTCATGTCATCAGTGGCCTCCTCTCGGGCTACAATCTGATGCGCCGGATGCTGACAATTCCCGGCACGCGCGAGACTCTGAATGAGGACTCGCTTTCGAGCCACATCATCCAGGACGAGTTCATGCAGGAGTCTGAGCGACCTGCAGAACTGCTTCCGCAGGCCAACTACGTCGCCCCGGCGAAGCAGGGACGCCAACAGGGGCAGCGTGGGAAGTCTGGCGGAGGTAGTGGCTGGAAGTCGTCGAACGCAAAATCGACGGAGGGTGCC